GTCTTTCAGCTTAATTGATTGAAATTTTTGAAATGTTGACCGTTTTTTGTCTGATGAGTGCATCCGCCGTATTGTAGAAATATCTCTGAGGAGTGTGTCACATGCCATGATGATGCTTCTTCTTTTTTTAGGAATACATATTTAATTTATCGTTTTTAAATTTATGGGTTTCTTTTGAATTCATAGAATTTTATTTTTGTTATTTGATGTAATAATGAAATGAAATTGAATACTAAGCAAAACCGCGGATAGAGATTGGTGTGCATTTCCAAGAGAAATGATTAGTGGGACATTATTTGGAGCAACAAATCTTTCGTTTTTCTTAGAAGCCATTACTAGGGGTAAAACTTCTACGAAATGGAAGGTTAATAAATATTCGTTTATACAAATAACCAACATCTGCTGATAGTCCCCCTATATATTTTCCAAAATGCAAAATGTTTAGTTTCGCTAGAGTAGTTACAGTTTTACTTTGCAATTTAAGATTTTTTTTTCTTTTCGCCTTTATTAAAAAAAAAAATCACTCTTTTTTAATGAGATTAAAATTTAGCCTCAGTGATGCCTACTAATAATAATCGATATCGATAACAAATCACCGCCCCTAATAAAAATAATGATACGAATCTGACAATTAGTGTGATTAAAGTCGTTGTCGATAACCATAGTAGCAACGATATCAATAGAATGTTAATTAGTAAATATATCGATGACATGATCCGCTAACAGTATCGGCAGTATACAAAAAATACAAATTTGGGTTGGAATATGAAGCGGTTTATCAACGTGCAGCGATATGATATCAAATTATATTGAAGACAATAATTCAATATGTATATCGATTACAACTGATTTCCGTTTGAAACAACTATTAAAAACAAACAAAGAATGCGATTGAAATCGGTTTCAACAACCATAATGAAAGCAATATCGATAAATGTATTAAAATCTTCGATAAATATTTCGATAACACCTAATTGCCGATTATGATAACCATTAAATAAAGATAACGATTAAAACCGGTTTCAATAATCATAACGATATCGATAAGTTCATGAAAAACAGCGATAAATATTAGATTGCTGACAATATCTTTAACTGCTTCGATAATAAAATCGTAGAAAACGATAAAAAGGAAGAAATTAAAATTTCGAATACATTGCACATACATCCTCTGGATCGGAGCAATTTCTATAAGGCTCAAGGCGGAACCTCTCTGAACTTGGCAGGACAACTTTTTCTCAAAGCAAAAATTCCTATCGCATAATTTGCCGTTAATTATCCGTAAATTATCCGTGAAAAGAATAATTTTGCCGCGGACATATTTTAAAAAATATCGAGTGCCCTGCTAACTTCCGTTAAAGTTAGCAGGGCACCTTCTGAAAACCAATGAAGGAAACCAGCTAAACCCAAACTAACTATCTGATAATTTGCCGTAAATTATCCGTTGTTTATCCGTGAAAAGAATTATCTTGCCGCGGAAACATTTTAAAAAATATCGCGTGCCCTGCTAACTTCCGTGGAAGTTTTTAAAATATGTCCGTGGAAGTTAGCAGGGCACCTTCTGAAAACCGATAAAGGAAACCAGCTAAACCCAAACTAACTATCTGATAATTTGCCGTAAATTATCCGTTGTTTATCCGTGAAAAGAATAATTTTGCCGCAGACATATTTCAAAAAATTTCGCGTGCCCTGCTAACTTCCACGCACCTTCTGAAAACCAATAAAGGAAATCAGCTAAACCCAAACTAACTATCTGATAATTTGCCGTAAATTATTCGTTTTTTATCCGTGAAAAGAATTATCTTGCGGCTGACACATTTTAAAAAATATCGCGTGCCCTGCTAACTTCCGTGGAAGTTCGCGTCTTTAAAAATATCGCTTTTACTCCCCACTGCAGTGAAACTTAGCAGGACACCTTCAAAAAACCAATCAAGACAAGCAGCTAAATTAAAGATCATAATTAAGTATACATACTAAATATTTTACGCAGAAGTCTAATTAGCCCTTTGTAAAGAAATTGGAGTTTCAGTTCGAACTCATTTGTTTTTACTTTTTATTTTTTTATTTTTTTGCTCTATTTTACTTTAACATAAAATATTAATTTTGGTTTAATAGACACTGTGTTTTTTAGTTTCTTTTCCTTTTCTATCATATCGTCATATTGAATCCAATTTCCGCCTCTGAAGCAAATTGCCGTATAATGACCCATGTCTTCAGGTGAGTGCTGAATTTCTTCACCTTCATATGCCACCATTGCAGTAAGGTGAAAGGTATTTCCATTCTCATCTGTGATCTTTTTTGGTATTTTATTTAAAGTTATATATACTCCGCTTTCACCCAATGAGTATATCTCGAAACAAATAAGAACGCCTGTAAAAATTTCAATTAATTACATCAAACATTTTTATTAATTATTTATCGCTGAAATTGATAAAAGTCATGGGCTTCGCATCGAGAAATAGAAAATATATACATAAATATATACATTAGGGTGGTCCGAAAATGCATGTGAAAAGGTAAAGTTGAATTTTTAGGCTCTCCCCCGTATGATTTATACCGAAAAAATATACCCTTATTTTTTATTTTGAAATCAAAAAATATTTAGAGGTCGCTCAAAGCGCGCAAAGTTTTTCATGTATTTTATATGGGGAAAAACAACTTTTCGTAGAAATGGTATAGAATAGTTAAAAATCAATATTTCTCTACCAGAAAACTCTGTTTATCTGCAGGATATTCCCAATAATAATACCCAATTATTTATTTAACTATTTTTTCCATCACAACTACAATTTATAGGTCCGCCAGAAACCCACAAAAACCCCGAAAAATGCATTGGGGCGACCAATCAAAAATCTATAGTATTATAATATACTATATATAGAAACAATTAGGTATTATTATTGAAAATATCCTGAAGAGAATCAGAGTTTTCCGATCTAAAAATATTGATTTTCAAGAATTCTATACCATTACTAAAAAAAATTTTATTTTTCCCATATAAATATACATGGAAATCTTTGAGCGCCTTGAGCGACCTCTAAATATTTTTTGATTTCAAAATAAAAAATAGGGGTATACTTTTTTCAATATAGAACAATCCTAGGAGGTGAGATCATTACAATTACGACTTTACTCTTTTTGGACCACCCTAATGTACATATGTATAAATTAATTTAAAAAACGAATTGGCTTATTCATAGAAAAATAGAGTAGAGTAAAACTGCTTTATAGAGTGCCATTTGCATAAGACTATTATATAAAAATTTTGGGTAAGCAGATTTGTGGCCCATTAGATTTGAGTATACTAAAGTGCAGGTTACAAGTGGCTGCAAAATACCGTTGAGTTTTGGAATTTTTTTGCAACTTAATTTTATTATACTAAAATTCAAAGGTCTACAAAACTGCCTACCCGGAATTTGTTAGAATATTATTAACTTATTCATTGCTTTCTTTGTTTAATATTTTTATTAATTTGTATAAAATGTAAAACTTTGATTTTCGTTGTACAATATGCTATATTTTTATAAAAATTTACTGAGCATTAAGTAAACAAAAGGAAAACTATAAATATTGACGGGGAGTGTACTGCTTAAATTACGCACGCGAAATTTTTTGAAATATGTCCGCGGCAAAATTATTCTTTTCACGGATAAACAACGGATAATTTACGGCCAATTATCAGATAGTTAGTTTGGGTTTAGCTGGTTTCTTTCATTGGTTTTCAGAAGGTGCCCTGCTAACTTCCACGGAAGTTAGCAGGGCACTCGATATTTTTTAAAATATGTCCGCGGCAAAATTATTCTTTTCACAGATAATTTACGGATAATTAACGGCAAATTATGCGATAGGAATTTTTGCTTTGAGAAAAAGTTGTCCTGCCAAGTTCAGAGAGGTCAAGGCGGAGGCTCAGGACATGCGGTTGCAGCAAAGATGGTTTTTCTGCGTTTAATTTCAAAACTGGGCATATTTTTTGGTAACTTTAATAAATTTGAGGTTGCTGCAGAACGGAACAGAACTTTTTGGTCAACTAAAAACTAGACTTAAATACTGGACAAAAAATGTTGGCCATAAAAATGGAAATATGTACATTTATTTAGTTGGCATCAATTTAAAAACAAATTTTTTGTACATAATTGGTTTTCAAAAAACTGGACATACATTTTTGGTAATTTAAAAGCTGTACACAAATTTATGATATTTGAAAAAAACTGGACATAAATGCATGCAGTTAGGTCTTCTAAAAACTGTCTTGTTCATGGAAAAACTCTAAATTTTTTTGATCATTGAAAAATTGCACATAAATTTTTGGTCGTGTGAAAAAGGCAAGAAATATTTGTCATTTAGAAACTGGATAAAAAAATTTAGAAATTTAAAAGCGGATGATAAATTTATAAATTTAAATATGAAAAACTGGTCAAAAATTTTTGGTGATTAAATTATTGGATATAGTTTTGATAATTTAAAAGTTAGACATAAATTTTTGCCAATTTAAAATTTGGACATAAATGTTTAGTAATTAAATTGGGTATAAATTTTTGGTCATTTAAAAATTGGACATAAATTGTTCATCATTTAAAAACGACATAAACTTTGGGTCATTTTAAAACTGTAAGTGTACATTTACATTGAAAATGGCTCATCAATATCTTACGTCTTGAGGGGATGTGAAATATTTCCGGTAAAAAGTTGAATTTTGCAAAGTGGACCAAAAAAAGTGAATAGTAAAAAAAGACAGGCAAAAAAAAAAAACGATTTATTTGTTGCATGAGCGTTGGGTTTCTGTCCACCATTCAAAAGCTCTTTTATACCTACATTTTAGAGCTAATAATTTTAATAATATTATCTCAAATCGACATTACTTATCAGTTTTAAAATTACCAAAAAAAAATATGTC